TAAATCTGATCACTTTCATATTTGATAAATATGATTTTTAACACCTACCATAAATGTGTATAAAAAAAACACGCTTTGTTATGTCTGATCCGTACAACAAATTGTGTATCTTCGTAGCACTTGGAAATAGAATCATGATTCCTACTAATATATGATCGTACGTACAATTTCTCGTATCAGATATATAAAGATGTAAGCCTTGTGCAACTTTAAAAAATAATAAAATTGTCAACATTAGTTTGTTTTCGAATTCAATGAGATAATACACTTCCTTCTCTTTTACATAAAAATGTAATGTTACGGGCTGGTCTGTGATATAACCTACGGTGGAAATTTTTTATGCAAAGATATTTTTTATGCAAAGATAAACAGTGGCTAACACTATTGGAGTATGAATGTCATTCAATTGAGTACTATTAAACCTACATGTTTTGACAAAACATAAAGTAAGGGAGGGTATTATTACGCAGAATCAATTATGACACTGGATCTCGAGATCTTAGCTCTGTATAGCATTCGAACGTCAAATGGGGAATGGATTGGAAAAACCCTTATTTGAAAGAAAGTGTCAGACAGTGGTTTTCCTAGTCCATTTCCCATATCTCAACCTTGTAATTAGAATCGAACGACTCATAAAAATGGTAACCAGATAGACCTGCCGATTACATGTGATTTCGGACTATATTATCGGGAAACTTTTGATATTGTTATCGTTATGATAATGTAGGTCTCATTAAATTTTAATTCATATATATATATATATATATATTTGTTTTTTTATTGGTTTGTAACTTTTCTTTGGATTATACACGCAGATATACAGTCAACACCATAACGAACTAACTTCTACAACGAACCCTCGATATAAAAAACTAAAAATTTTTAAGAATTGTGGTTTCTTAAGAAAACATGGTATTTTGTATAGCGAATTTATTTTATTTTTTTTATTTTTTTTTATTTTTTTTTACATCCAGAACCATTAGTTTGTGTTGACTATGTATATAAGACAAAAAACAATATATATATATATGTATATATTTTTTATGTCGACCATTAAAAATCGCAAAACTTAAAACTATGAACAAACTAAAGATTGTAGCAGATTATTTTTTGTTTGAATTACTAAAGATGTTAACGACACTAAAATAAAATCGTTACTTGAACGTACATTTTTCAACGGCAAGTACCTTTTTGTTTCTAAAAGTTCTTTTTAAGATATCGTGATCGCTTTTCTAATAGTTTTTTTTTTTTTTATTCAAAAAGTTATAATAGTTTTGAATAGAATGACACCTTTTGCAGACTTTAGCCAGTTTCTTTGACACGGTAAGAATTTTTTTTTATTTAAATTTGAAGAAAATTGCTATCGCTATGAAAACAGTGATAGTAACGGTAGGAAAAAAAATAGATGCTATGGTAATGATTCATAATAATCTGTAATCAAAATTGCCTGATAACCTGATCCGAAATCACAAGTAACCGGTGGATCTGTCCGACTACCATTTCTTATAGGCGACGCCGCTAGAATCGTTATTGGAGTCGTTCGCCTTGATGAGATGAATAGAATGTCATTCGATCTGGTGTGCTAAAACTTTTTCGTATTTTATTACAAAATTAAAGTTATCGGCTTACGATAACGATAATGTGATTTTCAAATATAGATTCTGGCAAATAAGTAATTTCCTTTTTTAATTATGACGATATTTATGATGTCAACTTTGGGTAATTTCTAATGAGAATATTTTTACGTGATAGTTTTGAAAAGGTATATAAATTGTAAATTAGAATTACTCGGAAAAAAGATAATACTTCTTTCCAATTCACAAAACAAATCTAAAAAGAATGCCTTCGAATCATGGTGTCATATTTAAAGCAATTCCTGACGGTTATCCAGCTCTAGGAGAGCATATGGAACTTGTCACAAGAGAAATTGATATTGAAACCTTTTCACTTGGAGACGGAGACATTCTTGTTAAAAATCAATATTTATCGTTGGATCCATACATGCGTGGTAGAATGAGAAATCCTAATATAAAATCTTATGCAAAAGCATTCGAGCTTGGTAAAGTTTTAGAAGGAAGTGGTATTGGTACTATTGTTAAATCTAATAATAAGAAATATCAAGTTGGAGACTATTATATTGGAATAATCGGTAACATGATTCTATTATTATTATTATTATTATTATTATTATTATTATTATTATTATTATTATTATTATTATTAT